TATATATATATATATATATATATATATATATATATATATATATATATATATATATATATATAATCTTAGCCAATGTTGCGTTCAAAAACACAATTTCAAATGGAGATAAATACAAGCTTGAAATTCTGGATCAAGAATAATATAAATCAGTGAAAGTAATTTTTAGAAAGTGACGTGTTTTTTTTTTTCAAATGGAATAAGCTATAATGTCTGGAAATGGTTTTTTAGTGACTTAATCCAGCCAGGAAAATAATAAACTCCAATTCCAGACGTTTCCCTTCTGCGTAAACACCCCAGTAGTTACTTAGCAACTCCACAATGCAACACAATAGCTTGTATTAACTATTTACTTTTCAAAAATAACCAACATTTCTTTTAAGAAGCACTGCAGGTTGGCGAAGTTCTGCAAAGGGGATATGTATTTGAGAACCACTGACTTGGCGAGTTTTGCTACACAGGTTGCGGCATTAAAGCCCATGATCTGTTTCTCATCATAGTTTCTACAGATCTATGGTTTAACAATAAACATGAATGACATCACTGCAGTGTTTATGAGCTACAATAACTTCTAAGTAAAAAGAAATGACCAGTTTGTCATTTACTATATAATAAAATATGCTTCATTTACTCAATAAGTTCCTATCCTTCTCCTTTTTCTCTGGATTAGTTTTGAAACTACCTTATTTTCACGACTATAAGGCGCATATAAATGTCTTTTTTTTCCCTGAAAATGTTCGGGGCGCCCTATAGTGCGGTGCACCCTATGTGTGTTGTTACTGCAGATGTTGTTGAGACCAACATGAGAACGTTAAAGGGGGAAGTGTGGGCGTGGATTGTGTATAAAAGAACAGGTATGTGCTTTATGCAGAACATTGTTGTCTTAACAACCCTGAAAATGGCAGAGAGACACACCCATGAAGCACAGTTTAAACTGAAGGCTATCAGCTACGCAGAGGAACATGGAAATCGAGCAGCCGCGAGAGAATTTAAGATTAATGAATCGATGGTTTACAAGTGAAGGAAGATGGAAAACAAACTCAGACAGGTGAAGAAGACGCAGCTGAGTTTCGGATGTGAAAAAACAAGGTGAAACAAATGAACGCTCTGCTTGCTGTTATTGCGGGAGGTCTGACAAAGGAACTTCAACCTCTCGACATCGGTGTGAACCGGCCGTTCAAAGTAAGGCTGCGAGCGGCGTGGGACCGATGGATGACCGACGGAGACCACAATTTCACGAAAAGTGGAAGGCAGCGCTGGGCAAGTAACGCCACAGTTTGCGGATGGATTGCAGATGCTTGGGCTAACGTGTCTGCTGGCACTGTTGTTCGAGCTTTTGCAAAAGCCGGCATCATTTCCGAGGAGCCGCACGGCACTGAAATTGACTCTGACAGCAAAGAAGGGGAAATTGGCATATATGATTTAGCACAGCTGTTTAATTCAGAAACAGAGGATGATGACTTTGATGGGTTTGATTAATACTTTATAATAAATACATGAATAAAGCACAATCATACTCAGTTTTGCTCCCGCTCTATTTTTAAATACGCAGTAGACATATAAAACCTGCGCCCTATAATCCGGTGCGCCTTATGTGTGTGTTAAATACAGTAATGGCACACATAACTGAGACTGCGCCTTTTAGTATGGTGCACCTTATGGTCGTGAAAATACGGTACATATTCTTTTAATAATAGTTCGCCTTAAAAATCCTAATCTTGGAAACAATTTGTACAACTAGTGGGTTTCTATGTATTTTACCGACATATCTTTAAAGAAAACATTAACATAATCTTCTTTTTTTTTTTCTACAGTGTCCTGTCTGGCAAGGTGGCAATAAGAATAACATAACATAATCTTCTAAACAAGACAAACCTGGTGTTGTTCTTGAACTTGAGGAAGTAGTGGAGGCAGTTATTGCAGTGGTGTGGTCCGGGACCCTCACAGGCATTGTTGCTGCATTCAGGATCACAGGGACCTGAAACAGATCGTATGAAACTCATCAGAGATAATCAATAACACTTGAAGTGGCATTAAAAATACTAACTGAATGTTAAATAATCAATTTTAGCCCCTTAAACTAAAGAAATTCCCCTTTTAGGTTGTTAATGGAGAAGGACTGACATCAGAAGGCTGATATTTTAGGCTGACATTACTGTTTTTTTTTTATGTTCTCGTATCGGGATCAGCCGATACGTGCAAGTGTCCACCACTACATTATTGAATTCAGCAACAAGAGACTGCAAAACACATGTTTGCTCTCTAAATTTGCTATCCATTGTTAATTTTTTTGTTAGATTTATTTAGAAAATGTTTCTTTTTTGTTTAATTTGTCTTTGTAACATTTTTTTATGACTGTGTCCTTTTTTTATCTTGTAAATCGAAGAAGAAAAAGCAGAGTTGGCTTAAAACATTTGCAGCACTTATTAGGGAGCAATTAGTCGATATCCAGCCAACATGCATGTAATTTTCTCTGAGGTGAAGCTAATATGCATGTATCTAGATTTATCATTTACCATTGTACTCCTCTTCAACTGGCTGCTGATCACCTGCGTTGCGAGGCTTTGGCTGTGTGGAGTACGGATGGACAGCGGTGCCATACAGCACCAGAGACCACTCCTTCAACTTTCCTGTGAAAAATAGACAAGTTCTCTGTCCTTTTTAGCCAAGGTAGAAATATACATCTGTACAAGTTTTTAAAGACAAATTTTAACACTGGTCCTGGAATGTATGTATACAAAAAGAGTTAACAGATTGATGATTGTTGAATCCTGGAAATCGTGCAAAAAGCTGAAAATCTTCACTTATTTTTACTCCAAGCTCAAAAGAAAATATGTGATAGCTAATTAATTTTATTGTTATTCAAGAGGGAAAGTAACTAAATGAAATGAATTCATTTAATGAAACAATAATACGTGATTTGATTAGATGTGCTACAGCAAAGTAAAGTGCTTCCTACTAATGCTCCAATCACTGCTAATGTTTTTTTTTAAACATTCTGTTGAGTCAACCAAACGGATCCTTTTAAAAACCGTTAATAGCAGTGCAGTTTTTACCAGGCACTTTCTGGCTGCGGAGTTGAGAGGGTGAGTCGTAGATCTCCAGGATCCAGTCGCCTTCTGCTGGCTCTCCCCAGCAGTGGGTGGTCATAAATTCCCAGTTCTTAAAGCCCTCCATGGAGTGATCAAACAACCTGAACATCAAAAATACAAACCCAGACAGGGACACACACCCCAGAGATTCTAGTCAGATCACTAATAAACTGAAGTGGTGCAACTAGCAGAGCAATTTGGACAAATCAGCCTCAGAACAATATAATTACAGCCTCTAATAAACACTAACTGAGCAGTGGATTTCTGCAATCTATCTGGAAGGAGGGAATTTAGTTGTAACAATCAGGATGTGTAACCTTTCATTTAAAACTAGAGTGTCCTAAATGCTAAATGGTAGATCAATCAATAAATTCCAAGGACAAAATAATACACTCTCTGCCTTAACTGTATGGAGCTAAATGTTTAATTAATCCACAATATTGTTGGAAATTAAAAAAGGTCACAGGTAGTCCTGAAGATGCCAAAATCCAACAATTAAACTGTGGCGTATATGCAAGAAGCACAGAGGCGGTCCATTGCCTTCTAATGGAAAATAATCTGAGGGAACATATCATCATGCTTTAAAACTCTTGACCCAGCTGTAAGTTCTTAATTAACAACATGTGTAACTTTAAAAACAGGACTGAGCCTCCGCTGGCTGCAAACAGGCAGATGATGCAGAGGGTGGGGTCAGGATTACAAAGCTAAGCTGTGGAAAATAATTAGAGTTAAAAAAAAAGAATAAGAATTGTGACTTGAACAAACAGCTGATGCCACCTGTTTACATAATTGTTTCTCTTTTCCTTGTGGTTTTGTCTTAATTAGGCAAAAGTGATGTAGAATGGTTGTGATAAGCTAAATTATTTATATTAGATAATTGCCTGAATAATAGACTATTTTTAAGATGGATTTGTTCCAGGACAGACTGATACTCTTTGTAAATACTGAAGCGTCATCTCAGGGCATCAGCCAGGAAGTTAAATATTAGCCAGTACTGTGTTTTCCCAATGAAAAAATGACCTTTATCGTACTGATGATAAGCTACGGAGGAACTTATGGAAAACACTGTTGATAATTTGGAGCGGCCAGCAAAATACAAATGAGTGGCCAAACCTGAGAATCTGTTTGGAATGGACCAAACTGTTTGCAGAAATGTATGAAAACCTCTTTATCTAAAGAATGTTAAGAATATTCTTGATATTCTGTCATATATTAAACAGAAAATGTTTTTGCATTCTTGACTGACCCTAAAAAAGCAAAAGCCAGTTAGGTTTAATCTCAGGCAGTAAGAAAGAAAAAAAGAACGGGTTTTATAGAGGGTGAATACATGGTTTCAAATATCCCATTATAAAATATAATCTACAATGTCCATATATCAAGTTTTCTTAAATTGTTTAAGAGACAAAATTATAAGCTTATTCTATTGTCTAATGTTATACATTTTCCGATGGATGGAGGCATTTGGACTCATTCAAAGACGCCAAGACAGCAGCTATTAAAACGCACAGTAATCCTTTCCACTCTGCTATTTTTTTTTTTTTTTGCAAGGCCAAGACGTGTTACCAATCACAGCTCCTTCGGTTCTCTACCTGTTGGCGAGCAGCTGAGACTTGGTTCCTGATGGTGAGGTCAGGTTGATTGACAGGTCCCCACGACGAGGGTGTGTGATTGTAATGCGTACGACCACATGCTCCAATGAGACCACTTTGAGGTTGGGGTTGTTCGAACATCCAGTCGCCTTGTAGACAGAGCGAACCAGATGCTCCGGACGGATGGTTCTGCTGGACAGGAAGGAGAGAAAATACCAAAAGAAGCATATGAGCGAATTGAAGGTTTAAATATAATGAAAGAAGACAATTGGATAAGAAGATACATAAAATGAAGAGTTATTTGGGTTCTTAATCCGTTATACATCAGGTTGAGTGGTAAGAAGAGGCAGAGACCTTCCCACTGACAAAACTAGGGTTTTATAACCTGTGGCTCCAGAGCCGCAATTGGCTCTCTGGACTCGATATGGAGCCAACTAATGGTTTTAAACACAGTATAACAAAAGTAACATTCTAACAAGCTTCAGCAGTTTTTTTTAAAGAACATTTAAATAAGATTTCTTCAAAAAAAAGCATTAAAAAAACAGAAATATATTCCTTGTCATTAGCTTAAAAACTGTTTATTTTTTAGCATTAAATAATATCGTATTGAACAAAATCCAAAAATCTTCATGGTTGTCCTTATTTTAAAAACTAAAGAAACAGAAAATAAACTGGTTTTGAATTTTCATTCAAACTCCATAAAATACTTTTAATTTTGTTTGTTTACTGTAACAGTAGGGCAGACTAGGGACAGACAGTGAAAATTAGCTTAACCTCTAAATATTATAATTTTTTTTTTGGTATTTGTCTATACAAACATTAGATAAATTCATAAAGAGGCCGTTCCTGCTGAGTTGTATTGAATTCTTCCGTCATTCTAGACCTCATCAGCATCCTGCATCTTCACTTCTACTGCATCCATCTCCTCCTCTTTAGAGCAACCACTGAGGCTTGGGGAGTTTTAAAAAATTAGTTACAAAAATAGATTTTTCTACACATATCTGTAAGCCTGTTTTCATTTGTGTTTCAGTATATTAATACTCTATTCAGCTAAGAACTCTGTTAACTCCCAATACATTTAGTCATTTACAGTCATCAGCCATCTTTGGTCCAACTTAGCAAAATCACCAACACCTCATTAAAAACTTTTCCATTCCTGAATCCACATCCTGTCAAAAAGCTGCACATGATAAGATAAAGAGGATTATTTGCTCAGTCTGCTCTGCGCCACTCAGCAGCAGAACCTCTTCTGAATAGCAAAGACAGATATTTAAAGGCTGCTTTAATAACATCACTGGTATGATCTAATACCACAGCAACACCAAAACAACAGGGAGAACAAGAAAAGAAAACAAAAAACATCATCTTACCAGATATGGGTATTTTCATGCAGTCACTGTACAAGAACTCCCGGTGTGAGTTTGATGAAGATAAACTAAGTTCATTCGCTGATTTATATTGTCCCTGAAATGTGTTGTACTATCTTGTATTATAGATCATTTAACCAAATTCCTTCTGGTCAGAGAAACAATCACAGAATGACATGCTTACAGACGAGTGTAGATATTTTTATTTTAATCAATAATCTCTCGGAGATAAGCCGATAAAGATCTCTGGTTGTTAAAAAGATGAAGCGGGGCACATTGACGGTCGGTTCGAAGGGTAAATGAGACCCAGCAGTTTATATGAGATCAAGACATATTAAAGATTCTTTGATATTAACCATGAATGACATCAAATATAAATATCTATGACTTCAAAATAACACCTTATATATGAATTAGTCCTAAAAATGAGAATTTATGAAGAAAAAAAAAAACATTAAAGCACAACGTAAAAAAAAAAAAAGAAAAAAGAAAAAGTTAGATTTTTTTCTTCTTCAAACTCAAGTCACCAGAAAGATGGTAAGTCCTACTTATGGAACCAAAAATGAAAATGAAAATGAAAGTACAAATTAATAACAAACAGTGAACATTTAAAGCATTACACTTGGAGCAGACTCCTTCAAACCAACAACCATCTCTTACAGTGTCTGTCTGGGGAGTCTGGAGCCTTCAAACAGCTCTGGCCTGTCTATTACACAGCTCAGATCACTGAGGGACCAAGCAGAGCAGATGCACAGCTGATTACTACCAGCTTGATTGCACAAAGATCATGACTTTGGCTCCAAGCAGAATGCACAGGGTCAACTGCAGAGCAGCACAGCTAAAGGAGTCTGGAGGGTCCAGCCATTAGTTGAAGGAACACACTGTAGAGGTGACATCTGCTCTGACTCCGTCTACATTTTCCTCCTAAAAATAAAATCTTCCAAACAACTTTGCAAATAGATACTCTACTCATTAAAAAAATAAAACAACAAAAAATAATTCTTCAGCTTGAGAAGAATCCTTAGAGTTGTTTGTTCTTTAATCTGGTTAAAGAAAATCAATTTTTTTATTGTTTCTGTCAACCACTCCTGGATAGAGATCCAGCAACAATTCAAGCACCTCTAAGTGTTAAACAACAAGACAGAGCAGAAGTTGGTGGGGTTAGTGACAGAATTGCTTAACTCATTTGAAACTATGGCAGAAATTCTTCCCTTTAACTGCAAAAGGTTCAAGATCCCTGCAAGTCTTAGGCTTTATATAGACCCTATATTTAGAGACTTGTGCAATGAAGCAGAAGAGGCAGAATTACACCGATAATGCTGAACTTTCTGGCCACAGAGGCTTTGACTGAAAGCAAACCAGTCCTGGGCCCCGAGTTCAGCCAGTCAGTTTAATACAGCACAGCGCTCAGGCTTCCAGCTGCATCAAGAATAACAAGCTGTGAAGCCCTGGCTCCGTCTGTGTAAGAGTGTGTGTGCATAGTAAAGGTCTTATGTGAGAACCACCCTGCCAGAACTAATGCTTGGCCCCTATCAAGGTACAGCTTGCACAACCGTGCTCTAAAACACATGCCGGCGCAAAACACTGGAGACAGAAAAAATTAGGAAAGACTGTACAGCTGAGAGAAAATGGAACAGACTGAAACGGGGAGAGGGGAAGGGGGTTTATGAGCAAGCACATGATAAAAACAGTTCTCCTTTATGAGGCGAACATATTTGATGGGGATGCACGGATATGAACAAATCTGATGTTAATATTACTAATACTTAGCTAAATTATATTGTACCGGCATATATTTTTCTTTGATCACCATGAGAACATAGTCACACGGTGACAGGGTTTCTTTGCTTCCTGCACTGCATCACTTTCCTGTCACATGCCCAAACAAACATTGATTAAACCATCCATTAAACAGCGGAATTTAACATCTATCATTTTGTAAAAATGGACACAGACTATGAAGGTCAAAATGTTGGCTATCACAAACAATCTTTTAATGTTTCTTATCAACTTTTTCTCCACCCGATTGTGATTACGCTGTACCTGATTTGTCTGTCGGCAGTCTCCACGCAGACGTGTTGGGCGGGGACCTGCTTCCATTGCTCCGCCTCCTTCACCATTGCCTCAGCATCCATTAGGCCAAAGCCGTACAGGTGGCTGACTGCAGAAACAAGGAAATGCCGCGCTGTGGTCATCTCTGTTGTTTGTTTTTTTTGGTCCTATATCTATGAACTAATCATGAGAACGTATGGAGACAGAATAAACAGACACATAAGGAAAACGTGACTGCAAAGATCCTCCTCCTCCTTTTTATTACCTTTCATTCTTTTGTCACCGTAAGCTTAATATATCATTTGACTGCAAAGCATTAATACATGTTACATAACATTAGCCAAATGCTGCATATAAACAGTCCTTTATTGCACACATTAATTAAGTGATGACTGGGTTTTAAAATATTTTGCAGATATTTTTCATTCCAGTGTTAGATAACAAAAATGCAAGGTTATTTTTTTTCAAACCTTCTCCCTGCAGACTCTCTGATATAAACATTAGATTGGTCAAACAATATTTATGATACTTAAAAAAATAAAACTACAAATTAACTGATTGTAACACATGATACAGTATGGATTCCTTTCATTCATCTACCCCCCCGCTTGTTCTGTCACTTGGAAAATCTCCAGGCACATGGAGTCTACTGCCTGGCTGACCCTTAGTTCCCACTCTCCTGGTTTCTCTCCAACATACACACACTCATCTCTCTCTCTCTCTCTCTCCCTCTCACACACACACATTCAGGTATGCGTTAAACATGCACTGAAAGTTACAAAACAGCACCCACCACACGGACCCTGACAGATGGCAGCTGGCGGCAAACCACTTAGCAAGCAGGAGCTGAACCTTTGGAGAAACCTTCAAGGCCTTTTATCTCACCGAATAACGGTTGTTGTAAATAATAACTGGTGTGAGGTTGTTAAAGACAATAACAAAAAAAACTCAACAGTAAGTGTATTAAGAAGAACAAAGACTGATGGCCTAAAATCATGTGAATCTTGTTTTTCTAAGGGTTTCATTATATTATTTATCCATCAACACTTTTTGCCAGCCTGACAAGGTGACCTTTATTAAATTGCAGACAGCAGATTTCTTCCTGAAGGATCGAAGTTTTCATTTTGCAGCTTGGTCATGCCCACTCCTTTGTTCACCGCGCTCTTGATGGTTGACTCATTAACACTGACATCAGCAATTTAGAAGTTATCCGTCCTTGGCTACCTTGTGGGCATTTGGCTCCTAAAGTAATTTTCTTCATTGATCTTATCTCAACTGAGAATGTTCTCAAACTGCCTTTATTTGTAAACATCCCATCTTATTACTTTGTCGGATGAAAACTCTTTCGAGAATTTTTTTTGTACAGTTTTATGTTTTGGGCTTAATCTACAGTTTTCATGTTTTTATTTAAAGGTAAAAAGGACTCATGAAATGAAACTGTTTTCAGTAGCAGTGTTTCTGTTAACCATCAAATTGTATAAACATATTTGTGAAATAGAAACTCTGTAATTTGGACAAAACTCATGTTTTTCCATATTAGGTATTTACACTTCGGTGAGGTGGTTTTTCAGTCGCATTGAAATTAACAAATTTTACAAAACTGCAATGGAAACAATCCTGGCATCACACAAGTCACGTGGTCTGCAACTGGACCTTACTGCCTTGTAAAATGACTAAGAAGTTAAAGGTGATTGTGTGACATATGAATTCATGAGGAGGCTATTTTTACATTTACCGTATATTTTGGACTATATGTTGCAGTTGTTTTCTTTTAATGCTTTGGCCGGGGTTGTTACCTATGCTGCAGAACGATTTATAAATGAAAAATATACCAGTAAATTCCCAATTAGTTTACCATAATAAAACTATTTTATGTGACAGAGTCGCTCCATGTTTTAATTGGAATATATACTTGAGTGTCTCTGCAGTTAAAGTCTAATGCAACCTATCTATGGTTTATTTTTATTTATAATGGATATAGCGGCTGGTGAAAATTATAGTCTGGAAAATGCCATAGTTCACCACCATGAGTGTTTTGAGCAAAAACAGTCAATCAGCACCAGGAGGAGCATCTTAGCGATGCGAATCACGTCTTTGTTTGTGCGGTACACACCCGTGCTCTGCGGTGATTGCTGCTGTTCAATCTAAAAAATGCCGGTGTGCTGCAGCTGTGCATCAATGTAAAAGAGATGGTGCTGTTTAGTCCCTGTTTTTAGAATGTGCTGCAGCCATAGCAGGCTTCACCATGAGGGAAGAGCTGTGGCACAGTGAGAAGAAACTGAGATTTGTTGTTCAAATTTTCAGGCGAAGTCTGCATTTTGCTCAGAACTCCTGAATGCAGCTTTACTGCGGACGAATTGACCTCTGTGGTTATTTTTGTTGTTGTCTGTTTTGCATTTACTATCAACAATGGAAATTTGAACTGAAACTTAAATTGCTTATAAACCTAAAAAAAAGTATTAGTCAGCATAGCAGAAGAGACAATTTTTAAAACAGAATACCAAAGTATTTTCCAAAAATCTTTGATTAATTAAATATTCCACTCTGCACAGTAGAAATAAAAAATAAAAAATCAGCAGGTTTAAGTTTGTGTTTCCAATACATTTAGGCTGATGATACGGTTTCCAATCTTGCTGGAATGAGTGTTGGTTGGTTAAGATATATATTAAAGGAATGTGTGTCACCTTTAAGGTCCAGGTCTGGGCAGTGAACTCGAATAGGGATCGACATTTTGGAATTCATAGCATTCTATTTTAAGACATTGCACAATTTGTTAATATTCAAAGATCATCTTACCATCTGAAAATGACATTTCATTGTTCTTTTTGTTCCCAAATATAGACAGATATTTATTAGCCAATTAGATCAGAAACTGGAGGAAGCAATTAGTTTACTTTTCAAACTTAAACATCCTGCTTTATACACGGTAGTAAAATTTCTAAGCAACTATTTGAATGGTAGCCTAGTCAATTCTGTAGGAGCAGACAAAAATTCACAATATACATGAGGTGTAGTGGCTATAACCCTTACAAAGTTGACTTTTCTTGGCATTTCCAAGAAGGAATTGCTGGCCACCTGACTTATCTGGGGATGAAATTATGTATGATGCAGTAGGAGTGCTATTTTTTATATCTCACTTTTGTCAGGCACCGAAATGCTAGAGCGCAAGAAGGTAATGGTGGGATTATATAAACATTTAGGCTGTGCCCGAACGTCTGTCCTAATCACTATACAGGGCACTATGTAGTAGTTACACCATTTTAAATGAGTGTCCGAACGTTTAGTGGATGCAAAAGTAGTGGACTTTAAATTTCCCACAATGCACCTTGAGAAGTAGTGATCATCCATGTTCACTAGATGAGTAGATAGATCCCAGAATTCTTTGTGAGAGCTCTCTTCACAAAGCATTGTGGGATTTGTTGTGACAGCAGCCTCCTGTTGGGTGCAAATAAAGATGGTGCAAGTACCGTGCACGGAGGCAGAGTCAAGTGACCATGCAACGGTCAGTTAACTGAGTTCACTATACAGTCCACTATATAGTCCCGCTCTATATAATGACTGAGGGATTTAGGGGTTAGGGCGGATGTTTGGACACAGCCTTAGACTTTCATGTGTGTGTGTTTTTTGTGCATATACCATTGTAACCAGCACCGTTAGTCTTCCAGTCAGGAGCACTAAGATGTCCGGCTCTCGAGGTCTTTACAATGATGTGCTGAACGTCTCTCCAAGTTAATAAAGGACTAAAAAAAGAAATAAGCAATAGTTAACCACTGTATATACTATACAAAGATGTCACATATGAGATGGTAAAAAAAAGGCTAATTAGAAGAGAAAACATGGGTTTGTAAGAAGTCTTCATTAGCATATCTATAGAGGGAGGGAAAACATTTAAAAAACGTCATGGTAACGGTGAAAACTTATACTAACATGGAGATAAAGGGGCAGACTGAGCATTAGAATGTGGAGACTTATCCTGAAATTGATGAGTAAATTTAGAAAACGTTATAGAGGGAAAAATTATAAGATGAACAGAGGTTCAAGATAAAAGAGTATAGAAACAAATCTCACAAAAACCTGGCTGCAATATCAAAGCATTAGGTAAAGAGACCTGTCATAGTGAAAATGGTGGATTAGATTAGAGAGCCTACATGAAGACTGCCTGTTTTTTTTTTTTTTAGATCTCACGTGAGAGCTATTACCAGATAGCAGCCATGTGTCTGAAGTCGTTTGATGCCCAAACAGGAGATTAAAGGCAAAAAACAGGAAGAAGTGGGTCACCAAGTTTCATGGGATTCCCTTCAATCTCATATGTTTGCCAGATGCTCCATTCCCTCCCTCGTGTCACTCCCTCAACATCTGAGGCCCTCCACATTTTTCCAGTTCTCCAAAGCTCTAGAAGAAGCTGTCATACTACGCTTATAGACCAAAATTTGGGTTTTGAAAGCTATAAAACTTGACAATTCTCCAATTCTATAAATTGGAGAGGGAAAACAAAGAAATAACAGACCATTTCCCCCCTTAAAAGCTCATAAAAAAAGCAGGTATGTTGAAAAAAAACAAATGCTTCCAACAGTTAGAAACTATGAGGTGTTTGCATCATTGATTTTCTGTAAAAATTTATTTTTTTGTGATAAACTAAAGAAACAGCAATCAAACCAGGATTTTTCCTTAAGGGATTTATTAGAATTTTAATGCTGGAATAACTGCTAGAGTTTAAAAATGAAGTGTTTTTAGTTTCATTCTTTTGCACAGCTGCAATCTGATTACCATATATTTGATGAGAAAAAATAAATGTGACTTTTGAGCTCGGTTGTTTGTTAAAAGTTGACTTTATAAACAAAAATCTGATCTAATCTCTATAGAAGTAACAAAGACTTGCCTAAAGGAAAAATCTGATATAATACACTCTCTCTGCTCTAAATTAATCAACGTCTCACTAGTGTTCTCACTATTATTAAATCCATGAGGTTATTCAACATCTAGAGCACAACTGGCCTGAAATAAAATGTCAAGTGCAGAATAAATAAAGGGTGGTAGCACAGATAAGTCCTGAAAGAAGTCAGAATAATTAATGTTTGGATCAATATTAATAGGCTAAGCTGCCACTGCGTAATTATGGTTCCATTAAAGTTTTATGGTCATTAATTAAAAGTGACTTTGGCATTGCTATCTAGGCCATGACTGCCTTCCAATAAACAAGCCAAAACTAATTAATGGAGGAGCTCGCAGACAGCGGGAATCAGCAGCAAATAAGTCTGATATACGTTTCTCTGCTTCTCTAAAGTGTAATTATGGATGGAAAGAAAGCTAGAATGCATGAAACTAGGTAGGTGCAGTCTGCTTACAGAGGATTCCCATCCAACTAGCACTGGTGAATATGCTTTTTCAATTCTAAAACGTGTTTCTGTGGCTCCAGAGAAATGGAAAAATACATTTATTTTTATTTAAAATGGTTCCTTCATATCTTTTTCATTTTTTTCCATGCTTCTTTTTCCTTGATTTTAGACTTCAGGGTAGCTTTCCTATTCTTACATTACAGAAGGGCAGAGATGCTCCTGTAAAATGTATAGTATTGAATCCTGCCCACAAAATACAATGATGTCAGGAGGAGAGAAGGAGTATGTGTGTTTTTTATGTGTTTTAACCACCAAGCTTCCTAGCTGGATAGAGGTTCCAGTTCACACTAAGCCAACATTTTCTACACAGAGCGGTCTTGCCCCTTTGCGCACTTGATCCACACTTGAGCTGAGCGCACATCAAAGTGAATATGCAGTGGAGTGAATTGCCCACAATTCATTGTTGCATGTGATGTTTTAAGTGAAAGGGCAGATGATCCAGTTTGTTTTGCCTTGAAGTTTGATAATGATGAAAATATAATTCCATGATAATCATCCAGATTATCGGATAGTTTGTTCTCTAAATTGATATTCAATGGATAACTTTTTTCCACCCAGCTCCAGAAATCATTTGCAAAACAAAAAAAAAGTGCATTTTCAATAAAGATTAGTGTGTTAGTTCAGTTAAAGATTAATTAGATGTTACTGGTAATTTTTAGAATATTTTCCGAAACTAAATAAACTTAACCTTAGATATATTAATATATGTCAAGCAATTACTCAGCCGTTCAATGCAAAGAATCAAGGTCCCCATGTTTAATCTCATCACATCTTCCTAACCTTCGAAAAAGGAAATAGAAATATTTATGACATACTTGTTATAGATGCAATATTTTTTCAGTAAAACATTTTCTATTTAATTATTACAAATAAGGATCTTGTGTAGAAGAATATCCACATTAAGTGAAGGTGAGTCTCAATATTTATTTTAAATTTATTAAATAACCCATTTCAGAAACTATGCTGGTAAAAAAAAAATTAAAGTATAGATTTAAATACCAAGTAGATCTTTTTTTTTATTTTATTTTTTTTTTTCATAAGAAATTACTGTTTTATGGATATATCTTCTGAAGTATTCAGGTGTTACGCAAAGCATTTCAAACTTTGAATAGTCACAACGATTTTACATCGACAGTCTAACCTGGCACTTCTGATTATCAAACATAAACATTCATTGGAAGTAGTCACACATTCTTAAAATGTTTCTTTAATGAGTTTTAGATCATTCTTCTATCTTAAAACAATCAAAAATGAACTATAAGTAAAACATGCCATGAAATGTCTGGATTACCTAAGATTCCTTTATTTTCATTTTCTTTCTTCTAGCCATTTGATCCAATGAGACTTATTCTCCGACAGGTTTTCATGTATATATTCTAAAGTCTATTTTTATATCCTTTCCTTATTTGAGAAATGTCTTGTACACAGCTAACATTTTTTTTTGAATTTTACACGTTTATTGTGAAAATTAAAAAAAAGCTTGTTTTCAGGTCTTATTACCCAATAATTCATATTTTACTTTAAGACCAACTTCACAATAAACACAAGAAAACCTGGTTGTGACAAATATAACCTGATGCTTATTTTAACATAAACCATCACTTTATGGCCCAGTTGTTGCTGAATGTTTACAATTTGGAAAAACTTTCCATATAGGAAGAAAGCTAAAAACACAATAATAACAGATATATTTTTTAATAATGAATGGAATTCACAAACTTTGTTTTGATCCTTACTCAAAGTCCATAATAGCTCTGCTTTTATTGTAGGCGTAACAAACATTATCTAGAGATTTGGTGCTACTGGTGCTTTTTTTGACATCGGAGATGGCTGTAGTGGGAGGAACAGAACTGAGAAATAGCTGCTGCTTCTTTGTAACTTGATTTTGGTTCTTTGTTTTTCACTCTATTTACGTCTGACTCTACAGCTTTGATTGCCATCATGCCAAGCTTGAATTACTTCTTGCTCAAAATAAGCCATTCCTCATATACATTCCCTGGTTCTGTTTTTAGTCATGCAGAAAACTCATGGCTGGATGGCCAATTTTCATTGAATTTACTCTTCCCCATGTTGTCCAGATAAAAAGTTATTGGCGCATCACCCCAAGGTCTGTTTGCAACATTGTTTTTATTGGTTCTGCTGTCAGGATGGAACTAATAATGGTTCCAGCTAAGCTGTTTGGTCAATGTCCAAATATGTATGTGAATTTTTATTATTAATTACAAAAATAAAATGCTATTTATGAATTGGTGACCATTTTAAGACCTATGAAAGACTGATTTAAGACATTTTAATACCAATTAAGGCCTTATTTCAATATTGAAGAATTCAATGCCTTTTAAGACTTTTTAAGGATCCGCAGGAACCCTGAATAAAGGTGATATGACATTTTTGATATTTCAATATACATTAGGCTCTGGTTATAGCATTTGTCACAGATTGAGGTTCAGTGATTTTATGGAGTTTTATGTGATATGAAAAGTGAATTTTTCTAAGATTTTACAAGGAGGAGTTGGATAAACATGGCAAAATAACTGTCAAAAGTTTGTATGGGCAAAAAAGCTGGGGTCTTCTTAGCAGTCATTCTGAGGCTTTTAATGGCAAAACTGAAATTAGGTTGTATCGACCAAAAGTAGGAAATTAATCTAAAGATGAATTGGATGTAAGGCCGTATTATCCAGCCTTGCATCCAAACAACAGGCGCTTATCAAACGGTTTCCGTCAGCACATAGGTTTCTGAACCCAGGACAGTGAGCTTAAGCTCTGCAGGCCTTGATTAAGGTCAGTTAATGTCAAAATTCATTATTCAACCACTAAAAAAAAAGAGAGTCTGGGGGAAAATGCCTCTATGGGAAATCAAAACCACTGCTGACCAAAAGGAAGCTTAAGACTCTCCTCACAATTTCCCCCCAAAAAAATCCTGATGATCTCCAAGACTCTTGGGAAAATATCCTGTGGACAGATGAACTTTATCATTATCTCACATTTCAATTGCCTGAATTTTTCTGAGGATTTGAGAAAAAGAACATAACACCAACACCAAACACTGTTTTGGCAGTTTGATGCTCTGGGCCTGCTTGAAAACCTCAAGAACTTTCTAGAACTGTTTAAACCATGAATACTCCACTCCACAAAAACCATGCAGCAATCAACTGAACCATCATCACTGTATAATCTGAAGCTTATTAGCAACTCCATTTCTGAATGGCAAAGATTTATAAGTTATTCTGTTTTTTTTTTAAGGAACTCATATTTCAGAGCCAGGTTGCTTTGGAGTGCTTTTTACTTAAAAAAAATAATAATAACATATTAAACTTTTTGCATTCACTCTTATCTTTATCTCATTCTAAAAATATTTTGCTGATCTAAAACAAACTTTGAAAATAAAAAAAATTAAAAATAAATGAACACTGATTAAATCTATTTCCAGCACTGAACTTTGCTTTTTTTTTTGTCTGTGCTGCTCTATAATAAAACAACAGGAAGAAAAAAAAAAAAACCTAAAACTAACAGAGTGAAAGTCATTAAGGAAAGAAGCTGGTTTCCCTCAGAGGATTAGCAAACAGTATTGTTGAAAGCCACAAAAAAGTTGAAAGCAAGCAGAGAAGAAACCATGTGTGATAATCTTGTTGAGAAAACGGGCTTAGGAGCCCGGCACTGCCTGGAAACAGAGAATATTTTCTGTTCGGAGGATTTGGATTGGATTATCCAGGTTAATCGACGTGACCTCAGTTATCTGAGCTGCTCAACATGTGATGATGAGCCTAATTCACAGTCTCTGCACTTGCATTGCTCTGTTGTCAATTCATGAATTTATTACAATATTGCAACCCAGAATGGATTTAAGCGAAGAACCAGCGAGCATTTATAGATCTTTTGAAAGAAAGGGGGGTTCTGAAAGATAGGGAAGGGATTACAGCAAGACATTGAAATAGGGTGAAAAAAATTAATTTTTAATTTAAGGATTAAAATATTGTTCATATTTTAATCCTTAAAATATGAACACATTTATAAATGTGTCCAAAACTATCCACCATGTCTCCAGGTCGTTATAGAATAAAAAAAGAACAGTTTCTGGAGATGAAACTTTTTCCAGGTGTAAAAGTTTACATTTTTCCAATCGACTGCCTTCTTTTAAACTGTCTGCTCAGGTTTTAATCAGAGTTAAAGGGTAGTCGACAAAGCCAAAAGCCTCATCATTTAAATTTCTGCTGCAAACAATCAAAATGCTAATGAGCTATCCACCTGCCTCAGGATCCCAGTGCATGTATTCGTAATATACCACCAGGGAGTGCGAGGAAAATCCAGGCTAAGACTTCTAACAGTTTGTATACACTGCAGCTAAATGTGGCTGTCGCTTCACAATAGAGATTTAATCCTGTTAAAGCACTTCAAAAGATAACCATTGAGTAAGCAGGATGAAAAAATCAGGAAAAGCTGCTAAAAACTTGTTGCGTACAGCACAAACTTTTCCATAGAGCTTTTCTTTACTTTCAGGCATAAACATCTAGTTAAGAAATCTGCTAAAGAGCACGAGTTCAAAGGGATGCTTCATCAATTTCAATAATCAAGAGAACACGAATGGCTAATTATTTTCCACCTTCACACCATTGATAAAACAAAGACAGCTCCTCCAAGTGATTAAGTGCATTTCAACTGTTGACAATGTGAAGCATCACGTGTTTCTCTTATAGATCGGTAAGAAAAGAGGACAAGAAGGCTTTAGAGGCTAGTGCCGGGACAAAGGGATGAGGTTAAGTGGATCTTACTTTGCTTCCAGGGCCAGAGCAATGATGGCAGCTGCCATGGGAGCCGAGGCCGATGTCCCTGTGTGACTGTCTGTGCATCGGTGTCTCAGGTCTGTTGTGATCTGAGGACAGAAGAGCATGAAACATTAAAAAGAAGAAGAAAAAATAAATGCAGAGCAAAGAAAGAAAAGGATACAAAAAGAAAGGATGTAGTGCAGATAGAATTGAAAAAAACTAATTTCAGAGAATGGTGGAGAGATACCACAGTAACAACAGGCATAGCAGGAAACAAAGAGACAGACTAAAGACAAGATGGAGATTTAAACACACCTGAGGCCTCTCAGACACATTCCAGCAATGATACGAAATGCACACCTCACATTTATTATGAGAGAAACAAAAAGGCCCATTGTATTAAGCAATGGGTAATAAAAGTTCAAATAAGAGCTGTAATAATTGCTTTGATTGCGCAGACTTTAAACAGCCATCAAGTTACACAGCTTGACATCCAGTCAGCCAAGAAAAGCTTGACTAACTTCCAGCCTGAGTCCTCATCAGAAGGAGCTTCTCTGGACTGAAAAGTTTGAGGGTTTATCTAAACACATAGAAACTGCACTTTACGAGCTGCTCTAGGCAGGCCTAAGATTATGGCACATGAGCTTCTATTGTTCAAAGATTTTTGTGGAGCATAGTGTGTGTGTGTGTGTGTGTGTGTGTGTGTGTGTGTGGCATCAGTGTGAGGAATGTGGCAAGAAGCTGATAAACAAGCCAGCCCTACATGGTCAGACTTTTCTGTTATCCCAGTGCTGTGGTTGAAAGATGTCAGACAAGATCATAGCGCTTTAACCAACTCTTAGGCATTCATGGATGTCTATGCATGTCTGAAGTGGTTTATCTGAACAGAATGCATACAAAACTTCCTTTAAAAGAAAAAAAAAGAAAAGGAAAAAAAAACATATTTGAGACAAACATAAAGCCGTTTTGAAACTAACAATCTTTCGGTCGTAGTTCTCCCCACTGCTGTACGTAGTGGTCAGGGTGGAAGAGCATTCCTCCAGGTACCAGGGCTTTCGTCCGCTCTCAGCCGTGCTGGAAATGGAGATGGTGTAGATGGAGTTGGTGTAACCATCGCAGGAGCAGTGGTCTCTGCTGCGCCCACCATTTCCAGAAGCCCACACAAAGATAGAGCCACGGCCCTTTCTTCCCTGAAAAAAAAGAAATAGATTTTAGTTATCTTTTCGTTATTTTCCGTTACCATTTTTTATTTTTTTTACAACTGAAATCACAGAGCAAAAAATGCATAAGGATACTAATGCCTAATAACACATCAGTATACAGTCAAACAGTAACTTAAATCCTTAGCAGTTAAGAATCATTTTAATGTTTAAATCAGTCGTTTCTTTACAAAAGTCCTCATTACAAATACCTCATTATGAGGCTCTCATTTAAAACCTGCGTTATTACAAATATAAAAAAAGAATAAAGTCTAAATGTATCAAGGTGCCATTTTTTTCTCATCAATTCCCATGTAGAATGGATCTCATTATTCCTCTGAGACTATTTGCATCCACGCCTTGCATTACTAGGTGTAATCCAAGGTGTTGGATGCAGTGGGTGGAGGCTGGACTTTAGATCAGTAAGGTATGTTGTCTGGAGAGAAGAATCATGCTTCTCTCAGCTAATCCAACAGTCGAGTCTGGTTTTGGCAGGAAACTCTCTGCCTAACTGGATTTTGTTGAGTCTAAGATTCAAACAGGATTATGACGTAGGGCCATTGTTCAGGTGTTTGAATATTGATTCTGCAGCATTTAGAGACATTGCGAACACTTTCCTGCTCTAAAGTGTGTCATAACACTTTTAAAGGGGCTCTTCCTGGTTGAGACCAGCCTGATCCTCTGTTCCAACGGTGTATGATCCCAGAGTTCCTATACGACTGAACCTTTAAGCATTCCCAAAAGAGCGGAAATTGTTTCAGCTGCAAAGGGTGAATGACATATTAAATACTATGGATTAAGAATGAGATTATACTGAAGTTAATGTTTGAAGGCAGAAGAACAAATACATTTGGAAATAGAGTGCATGTAAGAAAAAATACTGAAAATATTCTCTAGGTGTTCAGAACTTCCTTCAGATGAACAAAAAATAACAACTTGTACTCTGAATAATTTTCTACTGATTGAGACCAAATCTAATAGAAATTCAATTTAATCTTAACCTCAAACATAAAGATTGTGTGAGGTGCTTAGGATGATGAACGCAACGTCAGACAAGGAGTTAGTGAGGAAAAAAAAAAAACGATCAGACTAACTGAGACTGAAATTCACACCAACTGTTTCAACACACTAAACACACAGACTCTAATACGCTGTAATAAAGGGTAGAATGGAGTTTTTCAAGAGAAGGCTTCTGTCAGACAGCGATAAGCGCTTGAAGCCCCTCTGCAAGTGAGGGAGGATCAGTTGGGAGCAAACGCTGGCAGATGAGAGTGATGGAGAGTACTTTTATAAGCAGTTAACAAAAGAAAAGGGATAATACACAAAAAGGGATGGGGGGGAGTGACGGAGGCAGGAGGATAATTAAACATTATATAAACAAGGCACAGAGAAGGTAAGATCTGCTTAAATCACGTCTTACTTTTCAAACCTCAGCTCTGAGCAAACTGTCTCCTCAGAGTGCCGCTCGTGTCAACGTCACAAAACAAGCGCACCACTTTCACTCATCTTCACTATCAAAGCTTAATGGGGACACGGGGACAGATAGGACTACCCAGCTCCAACAGCTGAATGGCCATCTTTCTCACCTCTGTCATTTTCAAACCCCAGCAGAAACATGGGTGTTAGTAATGCTCACTATCTTTACAGGTCACTTTTTTCCTTTTTTGTCCCCACTTTTGACTTTTTTTCCATAGCTTTCTGCGTTTTCAGCCGGAAAATACAGAAAATAACTTCAAGTTTTATAAAAACACTGCAAAAAATGGATAACTAAATTTTTTTTTTTTTTTTTTTTTTTATCTGTGTATTTTTCTTGAACTGATGAGGTAATTGAGACACTTTGCCAATGGAACAATACAATTTACATCAAGAATAAGAAACAACTATTGCATTGTTTTATTTACTAAGAGTATATTATCTAAATATCTTATTTTAAGAGTAAAAAATGCCATTCCATAAGCAAATGCTCTTATTTACCTGCTCAAATGAAAGGTAAATAAAGTAAATTTAAGAACTTTTACTTATTTCTGGATAATTTTTCCAGCGAATCGTTAACTCAACTGCCTCACTACCAGAGTATTTGCTTCATAAAGTTAAACCTGGCTAAAGCAAATCGCTTATGAAATGTAGTCATTTCAAGTTTCCCACTCAACTCAAACAATTCAACAGAGCAACACTGTGTTTGCACACAAAACAGGTAATAAATATGTAAAAAAAAAAAAAAAAACTATATGTTAATAAACAAGCATTACATTGAGAAGTCAGGAGGCTTGTAGAAAATGACTACAGATGAATCTGATAAAAACTGTACAGGTAAAAAAAGTGTTTATATCACTTTTGACCACATAAATGCTTAAGTCCAGTTCTTTGGCTAATTAACAGAGGAAGTGTTAAATAGTACATATATTTGCATGTAAAAAGCAATTGGAAATGCGCCCACCATGCGGATGCCGTTCTCAAATGCCTGCCTGGCCAGAGATGCTGGTCCATCCACAGTCTTCCCATCATCATCGGGTCCCCAGCTGGCGCTGTAAATGTCAATGTGCTGCGGGTTGAGGCTCAGAGACCTGGCCTCAACCATGTCTGTTACATCTCCATCCAGCATTCGGACACCTGACGTATAACCAGGAAACAAAAGGACAACAGCTCATCATTTCGGCCAGAAAATTTGTGATACATTTTACAGGGCAGCTGAATCAAAAACAGGCAAACTTTTCAAGTCTTTCTGAGTTACACTTTTCCCCCAGGAAAATACGAATGAAACAAGCACTGGATTTATACAACAAGGTCCTTAAAAACATTTTTAGATCATCTGGTGAAGCACTTTTAAGAACACAAAACAGTAGAGGTTAACACCTCTGTAAGATTTAGTAGATCTGTTAGGCTGTGAGAGGTGATGTCCTGCAGCTGCTATATAACTTTTTGCTCATTTATACAGTTCTGAAAAAATCCCTTTACTGAAATACTGCAGGTGGATTATAATATATTTACCCTGATTTACAAATTGATCAGTATGAGCAAAAAACATTGAGATTTCAGCAACTCTCAATAGCTTTCTAGTAAAAACCCTCAGAAATTACTAACAGTCCTCGTAAAGATAGACACAAAAATCATCAAAATAATGGTTGTTGTAAAGTGAGCTTTAAAAATGTTGTTTATCTCTGTCTGTTCAAACAAACTTACCTATAGGTCAAAAAAATAAACAGTAATTCAACAGTATTTGAACAGTTTCGTGTTCCTTGTTGGGCTGTCTCTGTATCCCAAAATATTGTCCAACAAATGTATTCTTTTTTAATAATTTTTTTTTGGTTTATGAAGGATGAAAAAAAAAACATTTAAAAAAAGATATAAATGTGTTAAATAAGGCTCGGAAACTATATCAATATGCGATGTAAAATATTAAAGAAAATATCTGAAACATGCAAAACATGCAAAGTAACCATTGCACATAAAATCCACAGTTTAAATATAAAGTTAAGAAACGACTAACCTCCTATTCTGGCATTGTAGGCGATTCCCACAATGCAGTGGGAGTTGTTTGCAGCCGCAGCTACTTCACCTGCACAACGTGTGCCGTGTCTGAGGACAGAGCAGGAATAAACAGCTTATCATTGCACAGTTTCAAACACACTCAGTTGATGCAGAAACTTACAGAAGTACATGTAAACAGCAGCAGGAGAACATGCACTATGTTTATATTAATGTAAACGAAAAGCACACAGAATATCTTCCAATATCCCTGTTTTGATATTTTCTAAGCGCAATGAAGGCGCCGTTGCTCCCGCTGGCCCACAGACAGACAAAGATAGATTAAACAATGTCTAAAAGTAATAATTATAACACGTGCGTGAGAGGGTTACATTCCTTGAGTAACTGCGGTGGTGACAATCGACCTAGGTCAGCGACCATGACACAAACACGGCGTGTTTGTGTCTGCTGCCTCCTCCAAAAGGCCACTTCCTAGATCTACACAAATACACACACCTCCTGCAGAGAACATCTGCATCACACATCATACACACACCCACACACAAACACACACATATTAAGTCCCGGTATCCTTATGGGGACTTTCTATTGATTTCTATTCATTTTGCAGTTATTTCTATTGCCTAACCAAGACACTCATACCCAATCCTGAACCTAACCTGAGCTCCATTCACACTTTAGACCTATAAGCCCCCACAATGTAACACATTCATGGGAATTTGACCTTAGATTGTTCCCACAAGGTGACAAACCCTTGGCCACACACACACAGAGCCAAGAAATAAGGAGATATTTTTGACTAGAGTGAAAAATATTACACAAATGTTACACAACATAGAATCCTCACTTAAGGCTAATATTAAAGCACAATTTAAAGTTCTAGAACAATTATGGAAATCTGCTCCAGCAATTCAGTGAACATGTCCTCCACCATGGCTGGTAGAGCTCTATAGTGTGGAGTGAATTTTGTTCCATTGTTGTTGCAAGAAAAGAACATGTTCAGCAAACTGAATTGCAAGCCAAAAAAATGCAATCCAGAAAACAAAACAAACTTTGAAAAATGTTTTGAGTTTCACTTTCCATGGAACAGCAGATATATATATATTTTTTTGCACGGATTGCAACTTTTTTAAATTTTTTACTTCAATTTACAAAATGTGATTTTTCTTGTGAGTGTGGTGACGCAAAATTAACTCCACACAGTTTGTCTCCAATAGCAATGAGAAAAATTTTAAGATTTCTTTCAATCTTCTGAGATAGTGGAGAGGGGCTAGTTTAAATTAGCCAACCCTCCAGACTTAATCAAGTTGTTGAAAACATGTATAGGGAGAGCTCAAATCTGCCAATTTTTTTATATATTAAAGCAAATTTAAATTAACTTTATTAAGCCTCAGCTGCAGGTACTTCAAGAGAACCTCTACTTTTAAAGGTTGTTGCTGGTAGATTCAGCATCTTAATACAACAGGTGTTTTTATACAAAAATACAAGAGCTCTAAAATATTTAATCAATGTTCCTCAGAGAAGGCCAATATGCCCCACATTTAGATACATATGGCGATAGCATCACCGCAGCAATGAGCTTCATCTGCTATTTTCATGATGTGAAGATGGCGATTTCCACATCATGACCGCTCCTAAGCACAACCCTGCTCACATTTCCAGCTGTGAGAGCACATCTCTCCAGCAGAAGAAACCCAGCTGTGAAATGCATGTGTGAACAGCATCTGCAGGGAAACGTTCAAGCAAACCGCAGATTCACCTGAAAATCTGTCAAAGTGTGAAAAACACTTTATGCTGCCGTTACTTCTGCAAGCTACATCAGCCATTTGAGGAGTTTTTATTTCATTTATATTATATTTGACTTTTATTTATTTTCTCAGACCAGCTTTTATCCTCAATAAGACTCTTAAAAACATCTTCAAACTGTTCATCCCTGAATATTAAAGTCTGACAAATAAAGTGGCTATAAATCAGTATTAGGGGTGTTTTAGTATAGTCAATGAGCCAAACTGCAGTTTCCCTGTTCTTTACCCTCCATTCCTTTCGCATCACTGCAGTAATCCAAAAATGTGTTTGTTTGGCCTCTTTCCTTTTCTTAGTTCTTGTGTCTTTATTTTCCACTGTCTGTGTTGCACAACCAGCAGCTACTCTCTAATAGGTCTTAGGCCAAAGTCATAACATCTCTGAGGCCAAGAAGAACTATTTAGAAGCCCTATAAAAAAAACCTTTATTGTCCTCTGGACCCTAAATCAAACAGATGTCTGTTCATAATTTCATAGATTCCAAAAAAACGACTGAGGGCACACATCTGCAGATTTGCTCGGAGCTGCACTGGTTTTAAATCATACAAAAAGTATAAAGAAGAAGAAATTAAACTTCATCATTATCTTGTTAGGAAGTTCAGTAAACTTTGGTTTTTAATCAAGTCCACCTAGTAAAGAAAAAAACATATTTTATGCAATTTATAAGAGTAGTGTAGCCAATGTGCCAAGTTAAAGTACATTAAACTAAGAAGACCGTTATTACAGCTGTAGATGGCAATTACATTTTAAAGCAATCTGTGCTTGGTTGATTGTTTCTCTGCAGCAAGAATGATTCAATGCAATAAATACGAATCAATGGAAAGCCTGTTTATCAGTCCTTAACTAATGTCACACTCAGAAAGAAAATACATTTGGAAAAAAACACATCACAAAAATTCCTACATTACTATTTCAGTTTGTGAAATATTAATATTGCAAAAGACTAATTTTGGGAATATGATTTTCCTGATATATCTTAAATGTCATGAACTTTAATTTCTAATGCCAATGCAATATTTAGCCAGTTGGACGGTGGTTCACAGCAACAGTTTCTCACTGCAGTCACAATGCACAAGTGAGGAAGAGAATATTACACATTTCAACTAATATCATATGGCAAAGTTACCAATATTGTTGCTATTGCATTTTTTCTTGTATCTTGCAGCCCTAATCTAAAATACGCATTGAGTCCTTTTTGAATTTCCCACATTACCTCGACTTCTGCCAAGGCAAACCGGCTTTTTTTCAAAGAGGTGTCACAACTCTTAGCGACCCCCTGTGGTGTTGGATTGAGCAAGTTGTTTGAGGAAAATCAATAAAACCTTAATAGCTAAACTACAACAAGATATACATTTAATAGGAAGACTTGCAGAACCGTATTCTAAAGAAAAAGTCACAGCTCTCGAAAACTGCACATCAGAAACAAACATAAAAAATAAATACGAGCATTTCTAGTCACTGACAGATATCTTATAGTAACATTGGCATTTGAATTTTAATGAATGCTTAATTCAATCAAACACTTCTGGGAAGCATTTGATGCAGGTAAACTTCTTGTAAACTTCTATTAAAAGGAATCTGATATTTTTTGTTTTAATAGTTTTCTTTATTCAATCTTTTTTTTTTATGCCTGGAAAAAGTTCCTTACTTTTCATTCCTTTCCAAACCGAGAAACCCTGTAATGATGAGGTTTTAACATTACGAGTTACCTCAGACCAACATTAAAGACAGCTTAACTGAAGATGGTTGAATTAAAAAAGCCTACATTGCAATGTGATATTAAAAGGAGAGGTCATAAAACGGCAACAACGAAAACACACATAATAATTATAATAAACCAAGAATTCAACCCGGAGCTCATTAAGCTGCATCTGTGGCCCTCATGCCTGCCTCTTTAAGAGACAGACATGAGGGCCACCAGTGCATCACCAGCTGGGATTGAGCCACTGCCATGACAGTTGTGTTGCTGCAGCCAAACACACAATCAAAAAAAAAAAAAGCTGAGCCACTGCCAAGCTGGCACAAGACAAGTGCACAGACAAGTCAGTTTGTTTTTCTCCCCCCTTCTTACACAGACACTCACATTCCTTCAAACACAAGCTGCCCACAAATGTCACAGTGAAATTCTCTATTTAACTCAGCACAACCACAACAAAGTCGGGACTGAACTAACAGATCAGAAGGCAACCGCTGCTTGTTAAAAAAAGCGACAACAGCAAAAAAAAAAAGTGTAGAGGCAGTAAAACGAAAAAAAAAAAACAGAGACGAACAAATTTCTATTCATGATTCAGCCTTATAAAAATATAAATAACATCTTTTTGTTTCTTACTTGTTCTCATTGGTTGCATCATATCGCGGCATGGGATCCAGATCATTGCTATTGACATCGTAGCTTGCTTGAGGATCCTGGGAGAAGAAAAAAAATAACGGCAGATAAAGTATATGAAACTTTCACATTAGTTTAAAAAAAAAAAAAGAGAAACCACATTGACCATGTCCACAGCAGTCATGTTCAGGCTTGTAGCTAGCAATGGGTACTCGCGTACATTGTGCACCCTTTACTAAAAATATTAGAAATTGTACACCCTGTTTTTGGGATGTACGGCTTTGGTACGCCCTAATTTTCCCCTGGAAACTTCGCTCAAATGTTCAAAATTTCAAAAGCAGCAGATGTTGGATCAACAAATCTGAGAAGCTGATCTGATCTTAATGATCACTCCATTAAAACAGTTTATTAATCCCTAATTTAACCTAAAATGTCAAAACCTGCCAGCAAAATATGTTCGCCTTTATTATTCTGTTGCTTGCAGTTTGTACCTTACACCTAAAAACGCAAATATCTACTTCCAGCCACTAAAATAGTAGTGGAAATCCCTAAGAAGCGATTGGGCCTGAGTCAGCTGCTGCTGGATTCCCAGTGACAGCGCATCTCCGGTATGTGGGGGGTCTGTGTGCCTCTGACAGCGAAATAATATTTGAAGGCGTGATCGTAATCTTGAAGAACTGACTGCACATATGATGCTTTGAGGTGGACTTTCTCACATAGAAATATAGTAAACCTACGATTTTACCCCTTTGATCACAGCAAATATAGCAAATACGTTCTCTGCCATCAAACACAGGAGCGGTTGGAGTATCAGACGCATCTGGACACACGTTACTGGCTGCGCCTCAAGAGCCTTAAAGATGCTCCTGAGGCGCATCTGATCATTACACTTTCTGATTGTTTGAATTAGCCTCTGAAACAGGATATTGTACCTAAAAATGATCTCATGTCTTCTTGATGAAATTTTCACCTCTAGTCAAGCACACATACTTCACATAATCAGGACAAATGTAGTGTTTTAACAGAGCCAAAAGGTGGGCTGCATTTAACCTAAAAAGGCAGGAAATTTCAGACAGGCATTTCAGAGAGTGTAAATTTTCCAGCGCAGGATTTCCCTAGACCCCCCTACGCAACCCCCCCCCCTAAGATGTGATACACCAAGGTGTACACCCTATGAAGTATTCCTAGCTAAAGGCCTGTTCATGTAACTGGATCATCAAATGTCTCCTTGTTACTAACGATTGCTGGGGCAGGAGTATGTAGTACCTGCAGCCCAGGCCGTGTTTAACAGGTGAGATCTTTCAGCTTTGCAGCCTTACCTGCTGCCTCACACCTACATGTTTACCCTAAGTTGTGCTCTTGCTCTGGAAGTCAGACATACCCCAGCATCCCTACATAAAGTGCACTACATTTTTAATTCGCTCATTCATCCAGATAATTAAACTCTGGTGTTCCTATCACTTGCATGGCTACAACTGTATAAAATAAAATATCTAAAACAAAAGGTAAATATCTGCTTTTCCATTTTGAGGAACAAACATTTATGGATTTTTGTACTGGTCTATTTGCTTGTTTTAATGAGAAGGGGCTTGTCCGTCTTCAGGTTATCACCAACTTACCAAACAGAAGAAAGCATATAACTCCTGTTATAAAGTGACTGCAATGATGGATTGAGATTTTCCTTTTCAAATTCTAGTTTTACCTTTCAGAGCTTTATATAGTCAGATTTCATCATCTCTGATTTTATCATTCTGCTGCTGTTTCCAAGCTGTTGCATCCAGGCTGTGGAAATTATTGCCTACTTTCTTACGAAGTTTTATGAATAAAAAGGATTGATCAAGTGATATTGATCAAGAGAACAACACTTGACATCAGGTATGAGAACAACTGACCCATTTCCTATTGACCAAAGATTTACATAAAGTAAAAAAATAAAATAAAATAAAAGCTGACACACGCCACGTGTTTCTAATAGTTTTCTAATATATGAGATTTTAGAGGCAGGCTGATATATTTATCTTCAGGCTGACCGATTTCTGATATCAATATCTGATCAGGACACAGTAACTTTATTTTATTGAGATTGTATTGTATTAACAAAAGAAAACAGAGCTGCATAACTGGGAAGTCAAGGAATCTTTTTTTTATTATTTTCCACCTATTTTTTTTTTATGAAAATCTGAAAAATGCAGTACATTTGTTCATGCAACACCACTGCTAGAGTTTTAGGGTATGCGTCTTCCATCCTTGCGCAGCAAGAAAACTGACATTTCTGACCCCTTTTCTCTGGAAAATGAACAAAAAAAAAAACTAAACAAAAAAAAAATAATGGACAAAGAATCTTTTTTTATCGGGGGAGTTATAATTAATGACAATTTAGCTTTTTATTTTTATTTTAAAATTAATTTCTGCTTTGGCTACCTTTCTTTTCTTTAGAAAATTATTGCATAGTAGGTTTACATAGTAACTGCTTTACAATTGTCCATAGTATGCAAGAAAATGCCTTTTTTCAATTTTTTCAATAATTTGACTTTTTAAATGGTTTTAAATCTAAAATTAGACAGCAAACTACTGTTGTTTTTTTATTCAGTTGCGTTAAAAGCAATACCGTTTTCGGATTATTTAGAAGGAATTGAGATTTCCAGACAAAATTTATTTGGAAATAGAAGAAGTAGAAATGGCTCTCTGGATGGCACAAGTTGCAGACCCTAGATCTAACCTAATCCTATTTGTTTACTAATATTCTCTCTAAGAAACCTCTCACCCAACGGTTCCACTGGGTGTGGAAGCCGATGACTTTTCCACAAAGAAGCTGCCCCAAAGATTCTCCCAGACACCTTACATTAATGCATCTGTAGGTTTTAAATAGAGCAATAAAGCCATAAAGTGCTTATTTTGCCTGTAGTACCGGAGTTAGTGTGGCTGCTTTTATGTAATGACCTTACCCTCTTTTTTCTGGGTGGCTGACTTCAAATATTTATTTGTTTTTTTGTTATGCAACATTCAGAATAATTATAGCAGTTAAAATTGTAGAAATGTGTTTGTTTTTGTTTTTGTTTTTTTGCATAAAAGTCCAGGAAATATATAATCCATAGTCTGGACATGTAGTTTTTTCTTTGTAAACTCAACTGGTGTTCTGTTAGAAAAGCAAACATTGTTTTAATACACTTGCGCACACATGCTCAACAGAGAATTATTCCCAAATTTAATTTTAGCAGCAGTGTACCAACCGGAAAACACGTTTATTTTAAATTTTGAAAAAGAAAATCAGCTTTGATTATACTGTTATTTCTTGGATGTAGAAACAGCCAGACATGACTGAAGCTTTCAGGATGTTCAGAGAATCAGCCTCTATGGCTAAAACCATATTAGTCTATACTAATTTAAAATAAGTTACTTTATTAATAAAAAAACTTGTGTGCCAAAATGTAAATTTTTTTGTCATGTTTAAAATCCTAGAAAACATTGGCTGTTTACATTGTCACTCTGAATTCATATAGGTTAAATAAAAACTAATCGTATGCCGATCTGACAGAGCATGCTGTTCTGACAGGACACTGGTTCCACTTTGATTTTCATCAGCTGACATCCTGCATGAAAAAATCCTTTCTGATCTGGACTGACGTGGACTTAGATCTGCAAGCAGCAAAATCAGAACACCTGCCTATTTTAGAGAAGCTGCCAGCCTGGCTGGGATGCTACGGAAACGTGCCGCTCTGCACTCAGTGGAGCCACCGAGTGGAGCCTCCCTGATTAATTGCTGCTATCAGCTGTGACTGCTGAGCGGAGATGCACCGCAGCATGTGTGCACCAATTCCACATCGAGCCTTCAAAGATTTAGCCTTTTTTTTTAAGGTAATCAACGTGACGCCAACTGCAATAATCGCTTCAGCTACATGGAAATGCAAGCCAGTGAAATCAAAGCTGACAAACTGAAAATAGTTTGAACAGAAAGATTGAAGCACAACGTCTCCTGAGGCTGATCAGCAAACACTACGGATAAGGCAATGGCAATTTGTTTTGTCAGATCAAGTCAGTGAATCCATTTAAGGCAGCAACAGACAAATCAACATTAAACAATAATAACAATCGATGCGGTCATGTTAGCTGTGAGTAATGTTGTGTCCGACGCTTTTTACAGTGAAACAAGTGGGTGAAGCGGAAAGAATGCTAAATGAGAGGAGGGTAAAAATGAACAATATTTTGATCATCAAAATATTATAGTTTTCTCCCCCACACATTAAAATGACCTTATTTCCATCCTCTATCTGCTTCAGGTAATGCATCTCTGAATTGCATGTTCCCCACTTCAACATTTAGTCTTTTACTAAATTTTTTTCCCCCATGCCATCAAAATAATAATAATACATTTGATTTATATTGCACTTTTCATCAAAAAGACCTCAAAGTACTACAAAAAAGAAAAGCATTAAAAAAGGAATACATCAAAATAAAAAAAGAATGAAAAAATAATAATAATGACAAAAAAAATTTATTAATAATATAAAAGCTGTTTTAAAAGAGAGTGAAAAAAACATTTAAAGGGGACCAAAAGTTTTGCTAAAAAGAAATGTTTTTAGGCCTTTTTTAAAACACTCGGTGGATATATATATAACAAATATAACATTGTCAGAGTTTTGGATAACATTGTCAATTAGTTTTACTCGTTTTTATTACTACCCTTTTAAAATGTATATTAAGAAGAAGAAAAAAAACAAATAGCACTGCTTTGTACTGGTATTAAACAGGAAGGCAAGCTTTTGTTTACATTAGACAAAACATGGAAAGGTTTAATATTCTTATGTTTACAGGATACAAAACATACAAGTCTGAGGGAGGTTCCAACTGAAATATAATCGGTGATAAATGATTATCAGATAAACTAAAAACAGATTCCTTACTTGGTTTAATCCTTGCATTAGCATGATGCTTAACCCTTTCCTAAAATCTAACAGTTATTAAAATTCTATAATAATAAAATATAAAACTAAACACTACAGAATAATTTGTATACCAACCCAAACTTCACATGTAAGCAATGGTACTCACAAAGGTCAACACTTTCAAGTCAATGACGACACCCAACATAAACACTCTGCCGCTCAAGGTCGCCCTGCACGCGCATACATACACACTCACGTAGTTCTGTAAAAGGTCCGGGTGGGTTCTCTCAATCCCGTCATCCAGGATGGTGACCACCACATCTTTACCCGTGTAGCCCCTCTTCCACGCTCCCATGATATTCATGTCCGACTGGCAATTGTGGACGTCGTCGTTGCAGTGCTGCAGGGATGGAAGCAGATGGGAAGGAGTAAGAACAGAAATATTAAAAAGAGCAACACTGAAAATGTTTAGAGCCTTCCCACATTATGTCCTGTGCATTGAGTTTTATTATTGCTTATATCAACTTAAACAAGTTTAAACATGTTTATTCTAGATCTGTTTGGATGGTTTTCATAAAACACAATGCAGTCAAATCATGAGTTGGTGTCATGAGAAAAATGAAGCAACAAATTAAAAGGTTAAATTAGTACAATGATTAAAAAAAAATCTACAAATCAGCTGTTAGTTTATTTATCACTAGAAATAAAAGTTAAGTTTATATTTTTAATTTTTGTTTTTTCACCTTCAGTCTGAAGATAGTTATAGTTAGAGTAAATCAGCTATTTTTTTTTTTTTTTACCTTTTTTGAGTTACTCTCTGTGTTTTAACGCAAACAGTGTATCCGCCATTCAAATAGGGATATTTTTCATTTTCTACTGAAAAAGTAAGTAGATAAAGTTATTACATTTTCTAAAAATAGAGACAAACATTTTTTCTCGAATTATTAACCCATGTCTCCAGTTGCTTAATTTTCTAAAAGGTTAAAGAAATTATTTGATTTTAGATTTTATCAGTTTATAAACAAGTATTCTATTTTTTGTAGCAACCATATGGGTACTTTAATGTGTATGCTTAAAGAAATACTTGCTGGAATAGTAAATCAAATTTCTGAAATTATAATTATAGATGACTAGTGCATCAAAGCATTTCAATTTATTCAGAGAACAGAAAACAGCTCATGGAGATAAACAGCTTTATATCTCATTTTTACCATGTTAACTGTGGAGGCCAGGGCTTCAGTCATTGGGTCTTTTTTATTTATCTAATAAATTAATAGTTCATTTTTTTTATCCAGACATAACCAAAACCTTGTCTTTGTTGATGAAACAACGTTCCTTTACTTAAGTGAAAATTTGTCTTACTCATTACATGTGGTTATAATGTATTTTAAAAGCATAAAAACATGGTTGGATGTAAAAAAAAAAAAAAAAAAAAAATTGCAATAAAGAGAGCCCCACCTACAAATCGATAGATGTTGATTAAGTTGAAATTAAGCAGGTGACAAAGACAAAATTTCTAGCCATTAATCTTATAAACAAATATGAACTACACAACAATAATAAAAAAAATAAAAATCTAAGATAAAGGTATTCATATAAATTAAGGCTGCAACTGACGATTATTTTGCAAATTGATTATTCTGTCGATCATTTTTTTTATTTAAAAATCAGATAACAAAAGGTTCCTTATAGAATTTTAATGAAAGTAACCCAAGTTTCTTTTACAATCTTCCTATAGTTACTATTCTAAGAGGGTCGCTCTGTCAGCTAAAGGTATATTTTACATTATCTATATTCCATTTAACGAATAATCGATTACTAAATAATTTCAAATTATTATTTAAATAAATTATTTTAATAATCAATTAATCACAATTAATTCCCTTGAACCCCAGTCAGCCTCACCAGATGGCTTCTCACACCGAGTCTGGTGCTGGAAGTTTTATCCTGTTAAAAGGGAGTTTTTCACCTCCACTCTTGCTACAAGCATAGTTGGTGTGACGGATTGCTGTAGAGTCAAGGAGTTGACACAATCAGCTGGTTTTCCTTAGATAGAAAACTTTGAATCAATTCAACTGTATGATCTGGTCTAATTATATCTGTAAAGTGCCTTGATGTGTTGTGAATTGAACAACTGAATTAAATTGATTATTCCAATTAATTGTCTCAGCCCAAATATAAATAACTGTTCATTATTTGACTTGTGTAGAGCTTTGAAATGCTTTTGTAACATGTTTTTTTCTCCCAAAATGTTTACATTTCATCGCTGCTGCACTTTAAGAAAATGAAATGTCACGAGAGCTGCACAAAAATAAATGTTGTCTTGTATACAAAATTACAATTAATGTTGTCTATTCGAAGTCTGAGTCTAACTTGTAAAACGATGACACAATTCACTTTCAGCCCTTAAAATTTAAAAACTGTATTCATACATTTAAAATTGATAAAATTTTACAACTTTGTGGACTTTAGTAATGTATAACTTATTTTTTATGAATCAAAAATTTGTGTGTAATTTGAGAGCATCAGAAAATGGAAAGAAAAAAAAAGAAATTTAGGGCCATTTATCCCTAACTCTAAAGATACTAAAGAGTGTAGCTCCTTTTTTGTTTTTTTAATAAATCAAAATAGATACTATCAAGATATAAGAAGACTAAAGGAGTTTTGTTCCATCTACTCCTTTTTGATTATGACAAAATTATGATAAAGTAAAAAAATAATAAAATAAAAATGTGGGTTAATCATAAAAGATATTATTATTATTGCATATTCAGTTATTCAGCCAAATTTCCTATTTCTCCAAAATGCTGAATATATTGCTATCTGAGGTTTAGGTTTGCCATACCCCACACCCTCAGAAAATACTATCATATTGTGCAGTTAAGTCTTCATTATAATATCCTTAATTGGATTAATCTTGATTAACCGATTATTGAACTAATCGTCAACTAATTTAGCAATCTATTAATCGTTAACTAGAGTATACAGACTCTATAACATCCCTTTTAGCTGACAGAGCAACCCACTTAAAGCAGTAATTATATCAAGATTGTAAAAAATAAAACAAAAACACACATTTTGCATTTAAGATTTAAAAAAAAAAAAAAGTTTGTCATGTGCTCTATCCAAAACTCCACAAGTGGAAAGGTTTGAGTTTCACCTGGTTTCATTCTGTAAAAGCCTTCTTCTTTTCTGCAAAATAATCGTTAGTTGCAGCCCTAATTGTAACATTTACCAACATTTTCTTTTTAAAATAATATAGTTGTGTAGCCATTGAAATGCTTCAATAATGTAATTAATCCTCCCAGTGTTTTTTAACTGCTTTTTAAAATCTGGAGGTAAAACATGTCTTCATATTTGGCATGGTGTAGCATGCCATACCTCTAAGGTAGACTTAATTTATGATTACTGACGAAGTTACTGCAAGCTAGTACCTGCAGATGTTACCAGAGATTGGATTACGTCTGCGCCACAAAACGCTTAGAAGTGGGACAGAGGCACATTTTGCTTTCTCTAGGCCACCTTCTGGTACACTAAGCAGGGCAGCGACAGTTATCACCAGCTTTGGGGGTTAATTGATTGATCTAGTTTAAAAATGTAGATAAAAATCTGAAATTATTTGAGACTATGACAGTAAAAATTTAGATTTATCAGTCGAATTGGAAATTCTTCCAACATTATCGTTTTCAGAAGGGTGAGCCTGAACATGTGGCTGTCCTTTAAAATCTTAAAGAGTAGTATGGACATGCTGTGCCTTTTATTATCCTACCATTGCCATTAAAATGATCTGGCTTTGGAGGGGGAAGTCAAAGCTTCCATCTCCAGAGGAAACAATTATTAGACCGCTATGTTTTTGATAAATGAAGCTCTACGCTGAGCCCCCTGGACTGGGGCTTCCTGGGAAGAAAAAGGCAACACAGAGAATATAATAAAAATACATTATTTCCCCTCATCTCCACAGAGAAATTACATTATTATGATGAAAAACTTTGCAAAATTGGAGTTCATTACAAACCAATCAGGTTTTAATATTTTTCTGTTGGATGCATTTTTTGTTGTTGTTGTTTGAAATGATCTGAATGTAGCCAGAAACTCAAAAATATGAAGAGGTATACCAACTTTTCTTTGCTGATCTTTTGTGATCATAAACAGATACCGTATGATATTGCAAGACATTTTCTTTATTATATAGGACACGCATTGAAAAGTTTGTCTGCAAATAATTGGTGTAGATATTCATCTTAAACTAATATCGATGTGATATATCTGCAAGAAAGTCATGTTTATTATGTAAAAGTTGAAACTCTGTGTTCTTTTAAGACAAAGTTAACAACCATTAGTTTAGAACAGCCTTTGATTCTTGAAGTTTCATTCTTAATTGAGGTATTACGAGTTGGCCCCATCTGTTTTATTTGTTTTAATACCTGCTTTTATCATGTCTTTATCTTTATTTCCATTTATTACGCTTTTATTTTGTCTAATTCATATGCAGCATGTTGAATAGTCCTTGTACTAAATTCTGCTACACAAATAAACTTGCCTTGTTAGTATATTAATAAAATAAAGCATAATTTCTCCAGCTCTTAGATAATTACAGAAAGAAAATGGAAATTAAAGTTAAAAGTTGATTTCCCTGTTTAGGTTACAGCCTTATTTCATGTGCTAATTACCTGCTCACTTGACAATTCAGAATGATACTATGACAAAAGATAAGCGCCTGGCTTTAATAAGAAGCATCACACATTGTAATAAAATTTCATGATTGCTATTGCAAAACAGACAAAAGGCGCCTTTAGTCTGAGTTGGCAACTCTTTATCGCAATGAAAATGTTAGTCGTAGGTATTATATATGTCGGATTTTATTACCTTCTAGGTCAAAGTGACATTTAAGGTGCACAACTGTCAAAGATGAACTATCATAATTCAATTAAGCTCTAGGTCAGAAAAAGCTGCAATTGTACTGCAGATGTTTTGTATGACAAAACAGAGAAAATAGACTTTTTTTTCCCCCCTCTTCCAACCCTAATGTAAACATAAAAAATATTCACAGGAAGGTCAGAGAGTTTTCTTTCCTGAGCTGGAAACCCCCAAAAAAATTCTGGTCAAAGTATCAGGATTTATCTCAATGGAGTTGATAATTGACAGAGCCGAGGACAATCAACTGCCCACATACACACAAATAATGTATACTTGGAAGAGCAGTGATCTGAAGGTGAATGCAAACATTTGCGATAAGCTTCCAAATGCAACTGGTATGAACCAAGCTCCACCTGGTCTTCTTTTTATGAAACAAAAATAACTGCATCTCTCATTTCAGAGACGGCGCATAAATCATTTCGCTCCTCTGACACAGCAGCAATCAGTGCCACACCACGACAAGACCAGACCTTTGAACCAGAGACTGGGATAAATTAGGCAGATCATAGTCCTCTGAGGATGCTTACAATGTACCACATACTGCTCCACTTGGCGTCATTGTAGAAAATGCTGTTTTGGGCCAAGCTGATGCTGTGGGCGGGGCTCGTCTGGGACAGGGGTGGGACAGGTTTGTAATCCCTCTTGATCCTCCTCTTCACCACCTGCTGTTCTATCCACTCCACCTGAAATAAACACACACGCAGCTGTGAGTTAGCAGAAACTGAGATTACTGTTAATAACTACACACCCAGCAAGATAATGAGCTTGGAGATAAACAAAATAAGGAAAAAAGACAAAGGTTAACATCTGAACATCAGGTCCTATGTTACATTACACACTAATTCAAACATTTAAACGTTAGTGAACAAAAATTGATTCTCTTTGAGGTAAGAGACTGAATTACATCCCATGCTTTTGTAACCCTAATTTAGAGAGACATTTAGTTAAATGAGAGGGATAGAAGTCATAGTTCAGTTAAATTAGCAGTGAATCAACAGTTAATTTAGCAAGGATAAACACTCTGTAAACACTGCTCCGCTCCAACACACAGACTCGATTCACCTGAAGAGGCATAACTAATCAGTTTGCAGCCAAGTTTTTACTACTGTACCTGGCTTAAGACTAAAGCAGCTGCTTAAGCATTTCCACGTAACAACGCTTCCTCATAATGTCTTCTTTTTTGAAGGGCATCAGTCCCTTCTGCAGCATAAACACAGAACATAATGCTACAAACCGCATGCTTTAGTGTTGGCCTGGTGCTTAAGCTTCCTACCCTTACCTCCAAATGCAGTGGCGGTCATTACAGCCAAATCTACGTTTCTTTATGTTAATTTCATCCAAAATGAAAAGGTTTTGATTTTGAAATGTTTCTTGTGGAGTGTTGGCTTCTTCATTGCTGAACGGCCTCTCAGGCCAGTGCAGGAATTGCTTCTCTGGGATAAAGATATTCTTTCGCTGGTTGGAAACAGCCTTATGACAAGGAAGTGTGTGCCCTAAAACACTTTCACAGATTGCCTTTAATTTAACTGAAATGTTTTGAATCACAAGCTTAAAAACCTGTGACATCAACATCAAGGCTTTCCCAAATTGTTTTAAAGCACTGAACTCTAAACCTGTACAATAGCTGCGTATTGTTAGAGCAATATGAAACCCTTATTCAGTTATTTAAATAATAATAAAGAGACTAATGCTAATAATATTACTTGACCAAAGAGGAGAAATGTTTAGTCTGTTAGCAAGAAAAGCAGGTTTCAAAAGAAATAGATGGAAACATCTGGTTTCAACTGAAAAGCATCAAAAGATGACTAACAATAAAAGCATCGAGACATAGAGGGAAGAGGAGGCTCGATGTTTTTTTTGTTGTTGTTTTTTTTAGGGAAAACCATAATTTTAATCAAGCACGTATAAGCAAACGTTTTTTTTTGGTCAAATATCACAGCATATGTTTCTTCCTGCTGGATGGAAAAGCTTTGCTGTGAATTTGTTAGTTTACACAGAGGTAACATCAGTCTCTTAAATGTTGTGGGTTAGCTTCAAAGCACAGGTCAGTATTTGGGAAGACTGTCAGCATGGTGTCAGACAGAATTTTCTTATTTTGAAAACTGGATTCTCTAAATCTGAGCAGAACGGATGGACCCATTGGCTGCGTCCTGAGGAACTCTGCTTCTTCATGTTTAGTCTAGCAGGTTTCATACGTCCAAAAGTTTATGCTCAGAGATGATGGTAGAAAAGAAACTAAAATAAGACCAGACACAACATGCGCAGAAAAGAAAGGCAAATAGTATAGAATTTGATTTGGTACGTAAACATGAGCCGCAAAGAAGACAAACTAAATGATTTGTAGAAGTCTTCACCTCAACTGTCATCTATTTACGGTAGATTTCACCTTTGAAAAAACAGATTGTTTCTTTTAAGATTGTCTTTAGTAACGGTTTTCTAGACTCTCTAAGGGTTTTACTGCTATTTGCATCTAATATGGACCTAAAACTAAGTTAAAGAAAGCAGTAACTCAAGGAATGAATAATTGTCTATTTTATAATAACGGATCAAAAGCAAAGAGATAACTCAAACTAGCGCTGTAGCAGTTATTTTTGTATTAATTAAATCTTATTGTTATTAAAATATACATTAATCAAAAGGGGAAACTATTATCAAACAAATGCATCTCAAACAAGTGCTTGAGCACAGAAATAAAAAAACACATTTATGGCACATTTTAACGCTATTTATTAATTTAAAAATATTTATGTGCCTGTTTTTATTTTTTCCTTCTTGTGCAGAACCAATTCAGGCTTTTACGAGCTGATACAGATATTTTACATCTGACTTGTTGATTCTTTTTTTTTCCTGAGAATTAATATTAACATCTTATTTCTATATGCTTCATGTTTATCCAGTATTTCAATGCAACATATGCTAAAATAAAATATGGGGCTTAAAAAAGTTCCCCAATATGTGAACTAAAGTGTGTCCGTAATGATATCCATTTTTCTAAGCCTAAAATTTCGAAAATATAAAATGTCTTCAAAGAAGAAAACAAGTTGTCTACCTCCATGCATTTAACGGGGTAAATATCAGGCTTCCCTTATCGGACCTACTGGTCATGAATCAGAGTAAGTCAATGTAAAGCTGTCCAATTTTCCGTAAAAATTCAAAAAAGCTGTCCAATTTTCATTCCTGGAAAACAGTCAAATTCTGCTTTACTACAAAGTTCTCCGCTATGTATGTTTCTTGGGCTTTTATAATTATCTATTTGACTATAGGGCTATTTGTATACAATCTTTAGCATTTCAACCTAAGAACCAAGATGTCATCTAAAATCTAGAAACAACTCCTCACTTGGGGGAAGGGGAGGTGATAAGAAGAAGGACAAGGCTCAGCAACCCCTCCTAGGACATCTTATGCAAAATATTACCTATTGTGACTCGTGCAATATTCTTCTCTCTCACTGTGCAATAACACATACCAACTACTGTGTAGCCGGTGTCATTTTTTAAAAACTTATTTATATGGTTAGTACATTTCTTCAGTGCAAGTGCAATAATCCAAATCAACTACTGTGTAGTCTTTCCTTAGCTCTATACTGTGCAGATATATCTAAAGGACATTACAACTTATTTCATGCTCTTTTGTACTATATATACACTATTTTTATATTGTCTGTTGTATTTTTATCTTTAACGGCATCTTGCTTTAATACTTTGTACTCCATATAAGCAACTGGGACCAGAATTTCCCTGAAGAGGCAATCCCAAGGGATAAATAAAGTTGAATCTAAGTATAAGTCTAAAACAGCCTGATGCAAAGAAAGAATTTAAAACCTCATCTAACAGACAGAAGATGCTTTAAAGATTTAGAAAGATTTGGCAATAATGAGCTAAAACATATAAATTTATGATCAAATGTGCAGACATCTGCACAAGCACTCGTTCTTCATCTTAAAAGCCAAAACATTTTTTTTTTATTTACTTGGGTTTTGTGTGACAATCCAACACACACAATAAAGTATCCCAAATGTGATACAAGCGATTATCTAGAAAGTGTGGTGTACATTGTAATCAAGCCCCCAAGCTGTGATAACCCTAATTTATTCCCTTCTGAAATCTACTAATTAGTATGGAGTCCTTAAATGACAGCTCAACCGGCTGGTTAAAGGGTTTAATAGAGAATATTACTGAACAAACAGCAGAATTAAGACAGAAAAACAAAGCAGACAGAACACAGGGATAATTAGGGGAAGGTTTAGGCGCCAGGCAAACAATAGACTTAGACAAACTTTGTCATTTTGTATACACAAAGTGTATTTAAAAAATAAAAAATTAAATAAAAAGAAATTTCGATTATACAGCTTTCCAACAGTGGATTTTTGAGGAGCAGCTTAGTGCATTAGTGATCAAAATGTAAACAGTGTGGGAGAGACATGGTGCAAAAAGGCATTGAAGTGGAAGATTCAGAGCAGTACAATAGCATAGGCAATAGCCAAACCTTGAATATCTCACAGAAACACTTTCAATATATCACGCAAAGATATTTAAGTGTAGAAACAGCTACAGGATGCAGAATACAAGTCAGAACACAGGACCTGAAATGTCCACTTTAAAAGTTGTAGAACAGCCCAGTGAAGTCGTGCAAAAAGCATGAAAACGAATATCTATCATCCAGTCTGACTGAGCTCGACTTATTTAACAAAAAAGAGAAGGTAAAAATGCCGGTTCAAACAGGCAGAAAGCAAGGCAAAACATTTCTCAGCATCAATACAGCTTTTGTAGATGAAGAGGAGAAAGGAACAAAAGGAAGAATAGAAAAGCCTACTTGATGACTGCAGAGTGATTATCTGGTCTCATGCACTGAAACAATCTATGTGGATCTCCAGAGAGTTGGAGTGCGAGGCAACAAGAAGAGATAAGATGGGAGAAGGGGAGGCGATAAAGAGCTGAAGAGAAGGAGTCCCACGGGAGGGAAGGAGCCTTGGCTCGAAGAGGAGACAAGTAAAAAACAAATTGCATGAGGGAACAGAAGGCAGCAAGAGGAGAGCGGGTAATTGATATTATAGTAAATGATACTGATTTCTTTACTATATTGTGTTTTAAAGGTTGTAAAGAAAAGCTTATAATAATATTTTCCAATGTGAAAGGTATTATTAGTTTTGTAGAGTAGAGCAAGATATGAAAACCAGGGAATCAAAGAAGTGAGAAAAAGCCTGAAGCTTCCTTCATCTGTTCTGGTCTCAGATCATTTAACTTCTGACTTCCACCAAGACGATCAGCTCTAAAGTGACTGTTTACACAACCCATTAGGTCCCAAACAACTCTGAAGTAGTGCAGGAGCTTTCCAGCTATTCGCAAATCTTGGATCCACGAAGGCATCCCAAAGTTTTTACCGCATTTCTAAACAACAGTAAACTGAAAGCATTATTTACTCAAGATGCCCCCCTGATGTCTCTGTTAGATTCAATGCCTGTGCAGGAACCTCCTCTGCATCATTCTGTTTTCAACTGATATTGGACATTTGAAATCTGCCAAAATAATCAACAAGATTGCTTTCAATCCAGGAAGACCTCACTATTAGCAGCAACACAAAGATCTGGTATGCATATCTTCAGTAGCTGCATATTTCTGACATCAGCTAGAGAAGAAAATTGCGTATAGGAAATACATCCTTATATGGGGTGACGGCTGTGGAG